TCAGCTTGAAGTGCCCTTGCCACTTTAGGCCCTAAGAGACTGAAATGTAGGATCCAGATGTACTAATGCTTGTCCATAAAACTAAAGTTTTTCTGTGTGTAACTTCTAGGTGAACGACCTCTGACAAAAGACAACCACCTTCTGGGTACATTTGACCTGACTGGAATTCCTCCTGCTCCCCGTGGGGTCCCACAGATTGAAGTCACTTTTGAGATAGATGTGAATGGCATTCTTCGAGTGACAGCTGAAGACAAGGGTACAGGAAACAAAAATAAGATCACAATTACCAATGACCAGAATCGCCTGACACCTGAAGAAATTGAAAGGATGGTTAATGATGCTGAGAAATTTGCTGAGGAAGACAAAAAACTCAAGGAGCGCATTGATACTAGAAATGAGTTGGAAAGTTATGCCTATTCTCTAAAGAATCAGATTGGAGATAAAGAAAAGCTGGGAGGTAAACTTTCTTCCGAAGATAAAGAAACCATGGAAAAAGCTGTAGAAGAAAAGATTGAATGGCTGGAAAGCCACCAAGATGCTGACATTGAAGACTTCAAAGCTAAAAAGAAGGAACTGGAAGAAATTGTTCAGCCAATTATCAGCAAACTCTATGGAAGTGCAGGTCCTCCCCCAACTGGTGAAGAAGATACAGCAGAAAAGGATGAGTTGTAGACACTGATCCGCTAGTGCTATAATATTGTAAATACTGGACTCAGGAACTTTCGTTAGGAAAAAATTGAGAGAACTTCAGTCTCGAATGTAATTGGAATCTTCACCTCAGAGTGGAGTTGAAAATGCTATAGCCCAAGTGGCTGTTTACTGCTTTTCATTAGCAGTTGCTCACATGTCTTGGGGTGGGGGGAGAAGAAGAATTGGCTGTTTTAAAAACTGGGTAAAAATGCTGGGTTAGGGCGTGTGTTCACCTTACATATGTTCTATTTAACAATTGGGTCATGTGCATCTGGTGTAGGAACTTTTTTCTACCATAAGTGACACCAATAAATGTTTGTTATTTACACTGGTCTAATTTTTGTGGAAAGCTTCTAATTAGATCAATCATCTATTAGGGAAGTGACTAAAACTTTAATTCTGTGGGGGAGGGGTATGCAAGAGAGGGAAAGGGAGAGAGGTTTGTAATGTTGGGGAAAGGAAATATTTCTATTAGTACTGGCAGGGAATTTACCTAGACTTCATCTAAGAAAACAAGAGGAGAATTCACGTAGGCAGGGGCCCCTAAAGTTCCCAAGAGTAGAGTTTTCTTTTTTTTTTTTTAAGATAGTCTCCCTTTATCACCCCTAGTAATGTGCGCTGGTGTCACAGCTTACAGCAACCTCAGACTGCTGGGCTTAAGTAATTCTCTTGCTTCAGCCTCCAAAGTAGCTGGACCTATAGGTGCTTGCCACAATGCCCAGCTATTTTTTTTTTTCTTTTTTTGGAGACTGGATCCCGCTGGTCTCAAACTCTAAGCTCCTCTGCCTCCCAGAGTGCTGGGATTACAGGCATGAGACACTGCTCCCAGCCTGAGTTTACTTGAATATATTTGAAATTTCCTATTCCCCCTAACTGCCTTTCTGGTGGTTTTTTAGTAGTGATGTTTATAGCAGCATGGATTCTCTTGAGAATTATGGAGTGATCTTACCACTGGTGTTAACTTTATACACTTGGATCTTATAATTTTAGAATGTAAAGATGTGTTAGCACTTGCTAACTGAGCCTGTGGCTCAGTGGGTAGGGTGCGGACCCCATATACCGAGGGTGGCGGGTTCAAACCCAGCCCCGGGAAAACTGCAACAACAAAATAGCTGGGCGTTGTGGTGGGCACCTGTAGTCCCAGCTACTCAGGAGGCTGAGGCAAGAGAATTGCTTAAACTGAGGAGGTGGAGGTTGTGAGCTGTGATGTTACAGCACTCTACTGAGGGTAACAAAGTGAAATGGTCTCAAAAAAAAAATAGGTGGCGCCTGTGGCTCAAAGGAGTAGGGCACCGCGCGTTCAAACTGAGCCCCAGCCAAAAACTGCAAAAAAAAAAAAGAACCTAAGATGTGTTTTGAGCCCTAGCTGTATCAGAATCTCCATCCCTGGAATTTCTCAGGGATTTGCAATGGTGGTGTTGAGACTTTGCACACAACCCCACTGTGATTGTGGGTCAAAGGTAGTGTGGTACAACACAGGTTTAAGATTACTTAAATTGGCTTCTTGAGGAAAGGTATGTAATCTAGTTGAATAACTAGTATGATTAGTAAAGGACAGGCTGTTTGCTAACATGAAATCCTATACTGCCCAAAGATAGGTATTTTATAAATGGGCAATTGGCTAAAAGTTTACTTTTCCTATTATGAGATAGTTCCCTCTGTCAGACTTGCTAGAGTGCAGTGACATCAAAGCTCACAGCAACTTGAAAAATGTTCTTTCTTTTTGGAACTTCAAAATTTTGGGCTCAAGTAATCCTCCTACCTCACCCCCCAGAGGAGCTGAGACTATAGCATGTACCACCACACTTTTCTATTTTTTTTGTAGAAATGGGGTCTCAGAACTTCAGACCTCAAGCCATCCTCTCGCCTCAGCCTCCCAGGGTGCCTAACAGGTACGTTGTCTAGAATGATAGAATTGAGACCCAACAGCAACTTTGCCTTCATCAGGCTCACCACAGCCTCCTGGGCTAAGATCCTGCCTCAGCTTCCTGAGTTACTGGGACTATAGGTGTATGCATCCACACCTGGCGATTTTTTTTTATAGAAGGTATTGCTGTTGCCCATGCTAGACTCAAACCTGGGCTACGCAATCCTCCTGCTTCAGCTTCCCCAGTTACTGGGACTAGGTGTGTGCATCCACGCCTGGCTAATTTTTTTTTCTTTTTCTTTCTTTCTTTTTTTTTTTTTTGAGACAGAGTCTCACTATGTTGTCCTCAGTACATTGCTGTGGCGTCACAGGTCACAGCAACCTCAAACTCTTAGGCTTAAGCAATTCTCTTGCCTTAGCCTCCCAAGTAGCTGGGACTACAGGTGCCCGCAACAACACCTGGCTACTTTTTATTGCAGTTGTCGTTGTTGTTCAGCTGGCCCAGGCTGGGTTCGAACCCATCAGCCTTGGTTTATGTACGGGGACTGAGCATAATTTTTCTATTTTTTTGTAGAGAGGGTATCACTGTTACCCATGCTAGTCTCAAACTCCTGGATTCAGGCTATCCTCCCACCTCAGCCTCCCAAAGTGCTAAGCCACTATACCTGGCACTTAATTAAGACTGGTAAATGTCCATCCTCTGTTTACAGCTTATGCTGTCTAGCAATTATGATTCTGCAAACTTTTTTTTTAAGAGACAGAGTCTCACTTTGTTGCCCTTGGTAGAGTGTCTTGGTGTCACAGCTGACAGCAACCTTCAGCTCTTGGGCTTAGGCAATTCTCTTGCCTCAGCCTCCCGAGTAGCTGGGACCACAGGTGCCTACCACAATGCCTGGCTATTTTTTGTTGCAGTTTGGCCAGGGCCAGGTTTGAACCGCCATCCTCTGTATATGGGGCCTGCGCCCTACTCACTGAGCCACAGGTGCCACCCAGATTTTGCAAACTCATTAGAAGTTTTCATTTTATTTTTTGAGGTAGTCTCACTTTGTCATCCCTGGTAGAGTGTCATGGCATCATAGCTCACAGCAACCTCAAACTCTTGGGCTCAAGCAGTCCTCTTGACTTAGCTTACCAAGTAGCTGGGATTACAGGCACTGGCCACAATGCCTGGCTATCTTTTTTATTTTTGTAGTTTTTGGCCAGGGCAAGGTTTAAACCCACCACCTCCAGTATATGGGACAGGCGCCCTACTCCTTTGAGCCACAGGTGCCGCCCATTCCTGGCTATCTTTAGAGATGGGGTCTCCCTTTTGCTCAAACTCGTCTCAGACTCCTGAGCTCAGGCAATCCACCTGCCTCGGCCTCCCAGAGTGCTAGGATTACAGGTGTGAGCCACAGCACCCAGCCTTAAAAAAATTTTTTTTGAGACAGGGTCTCCCTCTGTCCCTCAGCTAGAGTGCCCTGGCTAGCAGTGGTATCATAGCTCAGTGCATCTTGAAACTGTTGGGCTTACATGATCCTCCTGCTATAGCCTCTTGAGTAGCTGGGACTACAGATGTGCATCACTGCACCTGGCTAATTTTCTCTTTTTTGTAGAGATGGGGTCTTGCTCAAACTCCTGACCTCAAGCAATCCTCCTGCCTCAGCCTCCCAGAATGCTAGGATTACAGGCATAAACCACTGGGCTGGCCTTGCAAACTTTTTTAAAAACTCTACCTGTACTGCAACATTTTTTTTTTAATTGAGATAGTGTCACTTTGTCGCATGTCAGTAGAGTGCTATGGCATCATAGCTCACAGCAACTTCAAAGACTTGAGCACAAGTGATTCTCTTGCCTCAGCCTTCTTACAGAAGCTGTTACAACACCTGGCTATTTTGTTTGTTTGTGTTAGCAGGCCTGGGCTGGGTTCGAACCCAGCAGCCCCAGAGCATGTGGCCAGCACCCTAACCACTGAATTATGGGTGCCCAGTACTGCAACATTTTTATGATTAGCATTGAAGGTGACCAATCACACATACCTAGGTTATAGTGCTGTTAAAACCCTCCCTATAGGCTCGGTGCCTGTGGCTCAAGTGGCTAAGGCACCAGCCACATACACCTGAGGTGGTGGGTTTGATTCCAGCCTAGGCCTGCCAAAACAACAATGATGGCTGCAACCAAAGAATAGCCAGGCGTTGTGACAGGCGCCTGTGGTCCCAGCTACTTGGGAGGCGGAGGCGGGAGACTCGCTTGAGCCCAGGAGTTGGAGGTTGGACAACTTGAGGCTCTATCTAAAAAAAACGGAAAAAAAAACAAAAAACAAAAAACAACCCTATCTATAAGGGAGGCTTTTGTACTGAGGTATCCAGTTCATTTTTTCACCTTCCAAAGCATATAAGAGCAAGATGGATGTGTAGTGCAGAAAATATTTTATAGGTGTAAAACAACTAAGGTTTTACTTTTGTGACAGAATAAAAATGTAGCTTTTATTAGTCAACTACAGTCACAATACAATCATTATAGATCTCTCCTTCAGTATTCATCCCACCAAACACAAAACAGAGCAACACGTCAGTCTGGTCTTCCTTGTGTAAATCACCACTCTGGGGGCCTCCTCCGTTGGCTGAATTCCTTTTCTCAGCTTCACAGTTTAGGGTGATGGAATTTGAATCTTCTTTCTCAGAAGTACACACCACTGGCCATGGAATTATACACATGGAATGGTCCAATCGTCCAGGGGGTAGAAAAGTATCATATTTAAGCAAGGTCCAATGCTGTTTTTCTATGTTGGAGGAAAAACAAAGAAACAAAGAAACAAACAAAACCCCAGAGGTTCCTTGTTACACTTCCAGAAATGCTTAGTGATTTGCTATATCAGCTGATCAATAGGAAATGAGAGGGGATAAAAAACCTAATGGCAGTGTTACTGCTTTAATGATGTCTACTCCTACAAATTTAGTATTCATAGGTTTGGATTTAGAATATGGAGCAACCAAATTGGAAAACCAAAACATTGGGTGGCACCTATGGCTCAGTGAGTAGGGTACCAGCCCCATAAACCAAGGGTGGCGGGTTCAAACCCAAGCTCCGCAAACTGCAAGAAAAAATAGCCGGGCATTGGAGCAGGTGCCTGTGGTCCCAGCTACTCAGGAGGCTGAGGCAAGAGAATTGCCTAAGCCCAGGAGTTGGAGGTTGCTGTGAACTGCGTGATACCACACCACTCTACTGCAGGCAACAAAGTCTCTAAAAAAAAGAAGAAAACTAAAACTATGTCACATTTGTTTAAAGACCCCAGAATGACACCTGCTCACCTATGTGATATTGATACATTATATCCAGTGCTCCTGTGGGAGTCATTCCACCAAAGATGTATATGTGTTTCCCCACAGCCACAGCTGAGTGGGCAGCACAGCCTGCTGGAGCAGCCCCAGTGGGGCTTAGCTTCTGCCATTTCATGTCACCTGCCAAGATAAAGTGTTTTATTAATTTATTCTTTATATATATATATATATATTTTTTACATTTTTGAGACAGAGTCTCACTACATTGCCCTGGGCAGAGTGCTTGACATCACAGCTCATAGCAACCTCAAACTCTTGGGCTTAAGCGATTTAGCAATTCTCTTGCCTCAGCCTCCCATGTAGCTGGGACTACAGGCACCCGCCACAATGCCCAGCTATTTTTTTTTTATTGTAGTTGTCGTTGTTTGGCAGGCCCAAGCTGGGTTTGAACCGCCAACCTCAGTGTATATGGCTGGTGCCCTAGCTTCTGAGCTATGGGAGCTGAGCCATTTTTCTATTTTTTTTTTTTTTCTTTGAGACAGTGTCTCACTATGTCACCCTAGGTAGAATGCTGCAGTGTCACCGCTCATAGCAACCTCCAACTCTTGGGCTTAAGGGATTCTCTTGCCTCAGGCTCCCGAGTAGCTGGGACTTCAGGTAGCTGCCACAATGCCCAGCTATTTTTTGATTGTAGTTGTCATTGTTGTTTGGCAGGCCCAGGCTGCCAGCTCTGGTATATGTGGCTGGCGCCCTAGCTGCTGAGCTACAGGCACCAAACCTTTTTTTTTTTTGAGACAGTCTCACTATGTCGAGTGCTGTGGCTTCGCAGCAACCTCAAACTCTTGGGCTTATGTGATTCTCTTGCCTCAGCCTCTCAAGTAGCCAGGACTACAGGTGCCCACCACAATGCCTGGCTATTTTTTGGTTGCAGCCATCATTGTCGTTTGGCAGGCTAGGGCTGGATTCGAACTCCCCAGCTCAGGTGTATGTGGCTGATGCCTTAGCCACTTGAGCCACAGGAGCTGAGCCCAGCCTATTTATTTCTTGAGACAGAGTCTCACTCTGTTGCTTCTGGCTAGAGTGCTGTGGCATCATAGCTCATAGCAACCTAAAACTCCTGGGCTCAAGTGAACTTCTTGCCTCAGCCTCCCAAATAGCTCAGACTACAGGCACCCACCACACAATCAGCTGGTTTTTCTATTTTTACTAGAGACGGGTGTCTCATCTTGCTCAGTGTGGTCTCAAACTCCTGAGCTCAAGCAATCTACCTGCCTTGGCCTCCCAGAGTGCTAAGATTACAAGCATGAGCCACTTCATCTGGCCTGTTTATGTTTTAAATCCTAACAGTTCCTGATAAAGCAACTTTGTGAGTGTTTAAAAAATTTATTCACTTCTCCTACTCTTGTGAAATTGCTATTACTTTTATCTACCCCCTTTCTTTTTACAAATAAGCAAACACGATTAGAGAGACAGAAAGACATGTCCAAATCCTTACATCATATAAGTGGCAGAGCTAGAATTATATTTAGCTCTAGCTCCAAAGCTGGTGTCTTCTGTTCTGTA